CAGAAAAGCAGAAACGCAAAAAATAGATGAAGAATTTGTATATTTCTTCTCTCACAGAAAGCTGTACACTGTGTTCTATTTATATTTACAAGTGCGTAGTATATTCTAATTCTAGGGCCTACTGTATTGTACATTTCCTCATGTAATAGAAGTACAGCTGTAAAATGGGTTTGTTATATGGGTTAATGGGTTAGTTGGGTTTATTATATGGGTTTGGGTTAAGTAAAAATGGGTATGGTATGTGGGTTTATTATAAATAGAAAATATTGTGTTTGGGTTTTAGGGTTTTCTTTGATTTAGAACGGCAGCTTCTTTGTTTTTGAGTTTTAGGGTTTTCTTTGTGTTTGGCTTTGTGTTTGGCTCATGTTCGTTTAGGATTTGATTTCGGCTATCTTTGCTCTAGAAGAAATGAGGAAAATCCTATTTATTCCTCTCAGTTTAAGGCGCAATTCGGATGTCAGGATTTGACCTCTTTCGAAGCATGGTAAGTACATAGTTCAGAGTGGCTATAGACTGTTACATGAAGATAGCCTTTCACGATCATACGCTTCTTCTTTTGTTCCGGTTAGTACTGCATGGAAACAACTGTGGCAGCAAAATATCCTGCCTAAAGTTAAACACTTCGTCCATAGGGCCTGCAAAAACCATCTTCCGACGGCAAATTCACTGGTGCAACGAGGATTGCTAATTGATGTAGTTGGGGAGGTCTGCGGCTTGTGTATCGAGAGTGTTATCCATGCGTTGAAGGATTGTATTTTAGCCCAGCAAGTGTGGAAATATTCGCTAGTGAGACTTACAACTTCTAAATGTCAGGCCTTGAGTTTCATGGAATGGTTTGCAACCATTATAAGTAAGTTCCAAAAAGAGCAGATTGAGCTATTCTTAATGACAGCATGGGCAATATGGTGTGCGCAGAATTTGTTAAAATTTGAACATAAGAGACTGTTTATTGTCGAGGTTTCGCAAATGGCAATTATATGCATCTCAAATTTTTGACAAGCTAATTATCTCAAGAATAGGCTTTTATTTTGTAACTTTTTTTCTTTGTTTAGATGTAATATGGATCGAGTTTTTCACTTATCATTTTCTAGGTAGATTGGGTGTATTGAGGGAGTCTATTGACTTGGGATTATTGCTCGAGTTTAATAAGTTTTTTCTGGATATCTAATAAAATTTATTTATTTTGCAATAAAATTTTTTTTGTCTCAACCTGGTCTGCAAGCTACTAAGTCCGAACAATGATGGAAGCCACCCCCCATGGCTAGGTTAAGTTGAATGTAGATGCATCGATTAAAGAGTCAATGGGCAATGGCTATGGTTTTGTTGCTCGGGACGAGAAAGGTGAAGTTCTGGGTTCAGGTACTCGGTTTATTAATATGGTTTTGGTTCCAGAAGAGGCAGAAGCTGATATCGCAAGCTTTGGACCTTGAAAAGCTCTCGAGATGGGTTTGGCCTCAGTGATTTTGGAGACAGACTCTCTCTTGTTGGCCTAGCATATCACTTCTTAGCAATTTTTGAAATTTTTGCAAGTGTACGAAGTCGCAACAAGTAATATAGAATGAGAAGAATATCGTGAAGTTCTGGGTTTCAGGTACGGTTTTATTATTGGATATGGTTTCTTGGTTCCAGAAGAGGCAGAAGCTGATATCGCGAAGTCTTGGACACTTGCAAAAGTCTGAGATGGGTTTTGGCTTCGTGGGAACTCTCTTTGAGAGACAGACTTCTCACGTTGGTTCGGCTATAGACATATCTTCTATTACATGTATTTCATGGAAATTTTTTGCACAAAGGTTCTGTAAGAAGAAACGAGTTCGAAACAAGTAAAGAGAGAATGAAAAGAATATCGTCTATCCATACGGGATCTGTAATACCAAGTACGCAAAAAATTTATAGTTTAACTAACTTATATATTATAAAATGGCAATTTTAGGAATATACTTGTAAGAACAAACTAACTTTAATAAATAAAAAGGAATAAGAGAAAGTCAAGACAAGGGCAAATTATGTGATTAAAAGATAAATGCTAAGGATTGAACAAAGCTTAGAGATTTTGACTTCACTAAATTCTATTTATTATTCTATTAAGTCTGATAATCAATTTTAATTTTCAGTAGGGGAAACCATCCTAAAATATAACAAGCCTCCCGATGTATTGTTCAAGCTATCTTTTAAAATCCCGGTCTAATTTTATCACCAAATTATCTTACTATAGCCCAGCAACTCAAGACATCGAATATCAACTCATTCAAGTTTTATGGTTTTTTATGAACATTACTGACTACTAGCGAGGTCATTAACTTATGAAAAACTCCCCCATTTGAGTCAACATATAGCTTCGATCAGTTATTATTCTCATGTAATTCTTATTTACCCTAATATCGTTATCAACAAACGTCTCTTCTCCGATAAGTGATTAATCTTATGAAATATAAAGTCAATTCAGGGGAGGAAACTAATGCCGCTGGAAAAGCATCTCCGTAAGTTCAATAATGAAATTTACTCATACTGAATAAGCGAAAACAAGGCAAAATCCTACATATTGGTAAAAAATTGGGAAGCTGGAAAAATTAAACTGTATCATCATATCTAGTAGTGAGAGTTTTATAGATTCATTAGTACTATAAAATAAAATACAACTTAAACTTGTAAATAATTCCCATACCAAAAATAATATGGAACTCCAAAAAAGAGACGTGTATGAATCTATCAGCAATGTTCACGATAGGCTTGAACACTTGCTTATGGAACGCCTATACGAATGTTGAAACTTGGTAGAGGAGTAGAGAAACTTTTGTAGACAATATAGAACAAGAGATTAAATATAGAATGCAAAGGCTCCCGTTCTTTTGACTGATGGCTGTCTCTCTATGTAGAAAATAATAGAACAAGAGATATAATATAGAATGAAAGGCTCCTTCTTTTGACTATGGCTAGTCTCTCTATTTATATAGACTTTCTAGAATATCTTCGTGTTCGTTTAAGAAAGTGAATTTTTATTGAGTAAGAAATCTTTTAGAGATATGAAACTATTTCGGTTTTATATTTCTTTCCAATTAGGACTCTCTCAGCGTCTAAATAGGATTTAAACTTGGTTGGTACATCAGAAAAGCATCTCATGCTGGTCCATACAAGCAGTATGGGTTGGAATTGACATTCTCGGCCCAATGAAAAATCTGGTCTTCAGCACGGGCGTGCTATCTGGCACGGTTTGGGTACAGTCTTTTCTATATTTTTGGCCGCTTTTCTATAAAAAATCTTACAAAATTCCTCAAGATCAACTGAAATATGATTTAAAGAAGCTTTGAACAAAAACATAAATAAAACTAAATAAAAACTAATTAAAGTAATTGAAAATACTAAAAATCCAAATAACAACTATATTAAAAATACTATAAAAATAACACATATCAATTCCCTACTTCTGACTTTAGAAGAAGGGTATTAAATACTGATCTGTTAGCTAAAAATTTGGCAATTTTAGATGTACCCACATTGGTAGAGCTACAAATAGGGTGGCTCATGAGCTATCTAGGCTAGCTTTTAATTCTTTAGATGATATTCTATGGATGGAGGAAGCACCGCGTTCCATAGAGCAATTTATTTACGTTGACAAACTTCCATTAAATTTATAATATTTCAATTGTTTTTCTAAAAAGAAAAAAAGATAATAAAAAATAGCGACAAACAAAACTACGTATTTCTAAATATGTAAAAATGATACTATATATATTATAACAAAATACAAGGACAAAATTATATTGTCCTATTTAATTTGGTGTTAAGACCTTAAGAAATTTTAACTTCTCATAAGTTCCCATTTATTTTTCAAAACTATATATAGCTTCACACACTCTCTCTATATATAGTCCCAAAGCCTTGAAATCTATATATAGTCCCAAAGCCTTGAAACACCAAGTCATTTCACGACGCTATTACTTATCTTGTCAGCCTTCTTTCTCAATTCCAAAACACAAAACATAAAAAAAAAAAAATGGCCCTTCAAGCTGCTACGCAAAGAGCTCAGGTTCGTCGAACAGCAGAGTTTCACCCACCCGTGTGGGGTGACTACTTCATCAAGCATGTATCGGACAATAATGTAAAGCAACTGGCAATTTATTTTTACTTTCTCAAAATAAATGTTCAAAATCAATTAACTTCTACGAAATGGTTTGATTCTTTAGAAATAGTATGATTTTTGCTTCTTAAGATTTTCTGCAGATAGTGAGCGTTTGGAGTGAAGAAGCCGAAGTTCTTAAAAAAGAAGTGCGGGAAATGCTTAGCTCGGCTGCTGGTAAACCTGCAGAGCAACTCAACTTGATCGATGCAATTCAACGACTAGGCATTGCTTAACATTTTGAAGGACAAATAGAAAAGCATTAAAACAAATTTATACTACTTATCAAAATCTGAATGATGATGACGATCTTTATACTGTTGCTCTTCGATTTCGGCTACTAAGACAAGAGGGTTTATTCAATAATCTGTAAATTGTGATGATAAACGATCTTATATAGGTATTGCTCTAGATAATCGAGTTTGAGACCTACTAAGACAAGAAGGAGTAAACTATTGTGGCGTGTCCAATGAGTAAAAGGCTCTATCCCCTAGCTTGCCAATCGTTGAAAAAAAAGAAAGCGAAGAAACGAAAATTAAAATATAACATTATGATAGAAGGGGTTATATAGTGGGTTCCACTTTTTTTGCGGGTGGAACAGAAGTTTGATTTAACAAGTTCCAAGGAGTCTTCTAAGAGTATATTGAAGAGGATATGTAACATCCAAATAGCGCAATTTGCTAATAGATTGATGTGCAAGGGTGTCTGTGTGAACGGCTTATATGCTAAGTTAATATTCTCATTAAATGAATTAGTATAATAATTCAGTTTTGAGAACTTATCCAATGATCAAAGGATAAGCTTTTTGAAGTTTTACTAAACTCCTTATTTGCACAATCCCAGATAATTGAAGTTCTGCTCTTTTCTGAGAATCACTATAAGCCATATGCCCCTTTATAGGTGGCCTGTGCGTATAGGAGAGCTTAACCTGGTGAAATAGAGGCCTTGGACCATAATTATATTTCAAGTTAGCCATGCCTTAAGGTGGCCTGCCCGTAGGGGCTTACCCAGGAAAGAGGCTTGGCATTACTTCTCTATCTACAAGCAACGCGAGGAACACAGCGAAACTCTGTTGAAGCTGGCTAAACTGGATTACAATATAGTACAAAAATTGCATCAGAAGGATATGAGCAGGGTCACAAAGTAAGCTATTTTAAAGGATTAAATACAAACTACTCCTCAGATCTGTCTTAATATGCACTATGGTCCTTATATTTGATCAGAATTATCATTTTTAGCCCATATATATACTCTACCTTCTCAAAAATTAAAGTGTTAAGCCATCAATAGATCACATAGACTAAAGTTATTGATCTTACAAAATTGAGGACCAAATTGCATATTCGAGCAAAACTAAAGGAGTGTTCTGTAATTAACAATTTTAAATAATTAAGAATCTCCATTGCAGAACCGTTTAGATAAGAAATAACAAGAAAAGAAATTAATTGAGTTGTGAATTTTCAGGTGGTGGATAGACTTGGATTTCACAACAAAGCTACCTTTCGCTCGAGACAGAGTGATCGAATGTTCGTTTGGGCATTAGGAACATTTTCTGAGCCACACTTCGTTTTTGCTAGAAAAGTACTGTCTAAAGCTATGGCTATGCTGTGTGTAATGGATGATATCTATGATGTGCATGGCACAATTGAGGAACTTGAGCTTTTCACCAAAGTGATTGAAAGGTTAATTTGTTAATTTTCATACGGAAGTGAATTGAAAAGGTTATTTGTTAATTTTACACTCCTTTACGTAATTAAGTTCCTAAGCATGGTTTACGAACTATAAATTAATCTGATTTGTTTATTTTGTGTTAATAAAATGTATTTGAATTTTCAGCTGGGATAGTTAGCAATGAAAGTCAACTTCGATACATGAAGGTTTTTTCAAGCATTAATTGAGATTTTTATTCTGAAATAGAGACAGAAACAACCAAGGAAGGAAGGTTTTCTGTATTCATTATGCGAAAGAACGGGGTAAAACTTTGTTTCTTACAAACAATGATTCAAAAATATTTTTATTTTACATTTTTTCCTTGAGTTTAATTTGCGTGCCTTACAAATTAAACCTTGCTCTAGATCATTAATCTGAATCATTAAGTTTCAGTCCTAGAATATTAGAACTTAGATCATTTTGGTTTTGGTCCAATTCCGGCATTTGTTTTTATTTTGGGTATGTTTGACAATATTAGCTATTTTAGTAGCGGTTAGCTATTAGCTTGTAACTCGTAGCTGTTTGTCTAAGAGTTTAAATTAAAAGTATTCAGTAAGAAGAACTATTTAACTTAAAATAATAAAAAATGATGTTAGTTGTTTAATTAGTTAAATTCGGAGGAAAAAAAATATAAGGAGTATGATTATCAAAAAAATTTAATTAAAATCTAAATGCTAAACATTAGATATTTAACGCTTTATAAAAAACGCCTTCAACTTCTAAAAATTATTATAAAAGCTATGTTATTGATAGCTACAATCAATAGAAATAGAATTTTAACTTTGTTAAAACACTAAAAGTTAGCTAAAAAGCTGTTGCCGAACAGAATTTTCAACATGGTCTGGCGAGGTCTAATTCTTGTCTAGCTCCTTTGGTTTTTAATTCTGATTTGAAATCGAAATTTCTAGGCCGATTTTGCGCAAAATGGACCTACGGCTGTCCGTATTTGATATAATAAATTATAAAATTTGATTTCGCAATGTTTAGAACAGTAAAATGAATCTTTTTGTTCATATTAACTAAATATGAAACACGAAATTCCAAATGAATTTAAAAAAATTTTGTAGCATTTAATTTTACCAAATGACGTTTAAATGGATGACTGAAATTGCAGGTGAAGAAGCAAGTTGGAGCCTACATAATTGAAGCAAGATGGTTCAACAATGATTATGTGCCAACATTTGAAGAATACATTTCTAATGCTGTGATTAGTTCTACTTATCCAATATTGATAACCTTATCATTTTGTGCGATGGGTGAAGTTGCTTCAAAGCAAGTATTTGATTGGCTATTCACTGAACCTAAACTTCTATATACTGCATCAGGTCTTGCAAGGCTCATAGATGACATTATGTCCCATGAGGTATGCCAAATTAGTGGTATCATAGCTATTTCACTTTAATGTTTCTTTTTATACTTCCATGAGTTGTCCATATCCGTATCCATTTTTACGATCCATGGTAAATGCAACTAATCTCCATTCGCCTTCGAAGGCAAAGGTGCTGACTTGAGAGAGTTTAATACTTCACTTTAAAGACACATGAGGGAAATCCACCCTATTTATTATTATATATGTATCCGTCCTATTTTTTTTATACAGATAGTATGCTGCTACTATTTCAGCAGACTTCAAACTCAAACTCATTGGATGGCAGTCAAAGGCAATTAAGGGCGCATATGAGTAGAAATAAAGTGATTATCTAGGTGGGGAAGGGATAGAACTTGGACCTGTACAGTAATTTTAATGAAGTCCAATTAGAGAATTATTAAATTCTGCAATTTTTAATATATATGCAGTTTGAGCAAGAAAGAGGACATGTTGCTTCCGCAGTAGAATGTTGTATGAAGCAATATGGTGTGTCAAAGCAGGAAGCTTACGAAAAGCTGAATAAAATAGTTGCCAATATTTGGAAAAATTTGAACGAGGAGCTGATGAAAGAAATTGATATTCCAAAACCTATTCTAATGTGCATTCTGAACATTGTACGTGTAATGGATGTTGTGTACAAGGATGAAGATAGCTATACCCACTCCAACACTTCTCTGAAGGATATTCTGGCTACCTTTTTAGTCAATCCTGTGGCTGTTTAAGCATTAATCAATTGCTTTGTGTTTTCTGAAATGTAATTAGAGACAAATAAATGGTTGTGATGTGAAGTTCAGTTTCATATATTATGAATCTGAAAGTGATCTAATAAAGTTCAACCTTGTTCTGGATTTGGTTTTCTAAGTTTTGCTTAATTGCTAATTATTGTATTTCTAATGATAATTAGTCTATATTAGTGAATATTGCATGTTGAGATTGTGTTTTAGAGGAGTGGGTGATTAAAAGAAAGCTTTGAGGGATGAACAATCACTTTCTTTTGAGGATTTATTAAAGGAATTTATCAGAATATTTCAAACTTTATTTACTTTGGCAATTTCATCTTATTTTAGAAACGCATTTTATATTCCGTCTCTAATCCGTTTCTAAATCGGTTTCTAGTTCATCCCTAATCATTTTCTAAAAGACGCGCGCTGACTTTCTGCGACTTTTGGCACCGATATTTCCGTTTCTAAATATTTCGTTCCTGACCGTTTCCAACGTTTCTAAATGCAAAATAATTTATGTCCAATTAAGTTGCTAAATCGTTTCTAATCCGTTGCTAAAAATTCGTTCTAATTGAATATTCTCTCTTTAAGAGTCATGCAACTCCCATAAGGCATGAACAACTACTACAGCAGGAGCAGGAGGCCTTATTTTTACCAAAGCAGCCAATTTCGAAAATGCCAAAGGAAGTAAGCTAAACTACAAAACTCAGCTATCTTATTAGTATCGACCACACTCAATATATAGAGAATCAATGCCAGAAAGTCAAAAAAAGAGAGACTAACATGCATGGATAATTGTCTCCAACAGATGATGGTCATTTATAGTAAATTGGAAAAGAAAAATTGCAGCTACTGTTACGTTTTATATTATTATTATTATTATTATTATTATTATTATTAACTTAATTTTATAATGAAAAAAAATTTTTTTTTTAATTATTAAATTTTTATTTGTTTTAATTATTTTTAAATTAAATATTAATTTATTATTATTATTATTTATATTATTATTATTATTATTATTATTTTCTGCCATATTAGGAGAAATAAGGATTATTTTCTTGATTCTCTTGCAAAGAAAAGAGTTGAGGTGGCAGATATTTTCTTAGATTAGATTTAGTTTTGGTTTGGATTTCTTTTTGTTTATGTACTCACTCTCTTTTTCTAACTCAAGAAAAGGAGTAGTCCTTTGTTTGTCTGAAAAATGTTAAATTTTTTTTTTTTGATTTATATTAATAAAATAAATTAATTTTCTGATAAAAAATTGTTATTATTATTTTTATAATGAGCTTTTTATCTCCTTTTTTAAGAATGAGTAGAAATTTGTTATACAATTTAACTTATTTAAAATGATATTGCTGAAAAAAGATATTTATTTAGTTTCTCTGCATTTGACAACAAAAGGTAATTCTATTGATTAATTTATTTGCTATTTTTAATAGTTCACTTTTATGCAAATTTGGATTATCTTAGTTCTTTCTGAGCTTTTTGCAAAAATACTTACAGTTATATTAAAACCAAATGTAATATAGCCAAATGAAGAGTCATTCATTAAACGAATTTAAGCAGTCACTGAAATTTAAACTTAAGTAATCCACCTATTTGAGTTTAAGCAACTCACCATTCAAACAAATTTAAGTAGTCAATAACAAACTTAAGCAGCTTAACATTTAAATAGACTTGAGCAATTCTTGAAGTTCTGACTTAAATAGTCCACCTATTTGGACTTAAGTAATTCATAGATTCAAATTTAAGTAACTCACTTAAAACATTTTACTAAGCTATAATATGTGTTGGATATAAATGACCAACATCTTTGGAGGGCTCTTGATAATACCAAAATATATTTAATTAAAATATTTAAAATGTTGAATCTCTAAGATATCCCTTAACCCTCGAGTATCTCAAGGAAGATAGTGGAGAGATTTTTTTCACTACTCCATCTATGATAATCTTTAAATGGTTTCTTATTTCTCCCTATATAGATATACCAAAAGAGAAAAAATTATGAGACAATTATCAATTTTCTCCTTCCCTTACTCTTCTTTAATATAATAATTCTCTTTAAACACTCTGCAACCACAATTATATTTAAAATAGGTGGAAGTCTGCGCATTGCGCAGCTTGCTTTTTTACTTTATTATTATACATTGTATTAGAAGTTACTTGTTTATTGTATATATAAAAATAAATATTTCTAAAAAAAATAAATCTGACAACTTCAGAGAAATGAAAAAGTAAATAAAAAAATAATATATATAAATTAAAATAGGATAAATGCATAAAATATAAAAGTCCTAGACAGTAAATATTAGTTGAATTATTTTTGTAGAATTATAAATTTGAAAAACATACAAAAAAAATTCATGTATAAAGATGATAATAATAAATATATAACGATTATATATAAATGGATACAAAAAAAATTAAGCATTCAATCTAAAACTAAAAAAAAATCAAATATTCAAATAAAAATATAGTTCATTATTTTAAATAAATAATAATTTTTCAATCAATAAAAATATAGTTTCATTATTTTAAATAAAATAATAATTTTTTCAAAATTAAAAATTATTTTAAGCTGATCTAATAAAAAAATAAAAATTCCAAACTTAAAATATAGATATAGATAATTATTGTTAATGAATATTAATTTTTAAATATGATTCTTTATATATCATTTTTTAATCATTTTTAGATAACAAAATTTAAAAATTTAATGACAAGAATATTATTAACTACTTAAACGATTAAGGTATTTCAATTTATTTTTTATTTATTTAAATGGGTATTTATTTTTAATTTATTCAAATTAATTTTATTATTTTTAAAATTTATTTATTGAATTTTTTAAAATTTATTTATTGAATTTAATGTATATATATATATATATATATATACATGAAAGGTGGATGCTAGAGAATATATATGTTGTGAAGGGAAATGTTACATGACAAGCCTCATCTTAAAGTAAAATGTATGGGTGATGATGGTACGGAGAATCTGCAAATTATGGATATGTGGTCGATTCTCCCATCAAACTTGACTAGTTGTAAACCCATGCTTTATGTGGAGTTAGAAACCATTACTGAAATTTATTTCCATGACAGGAAAAAAAAAAGGAGAATTATTATTTTGTCCCTTGATTTTGGTCAAATACACTACTTGGTCCTCGTTTACTTTTTCAAAATATATAAATACATCCCTAACTTTTGCTTTCATCCAATACTTTAGTCCTTCCATTTATTCTTTTACTATTTTACTGTGAGTCAAAGCACTAGAATACAATCAAAGGAGAGAGAATTTTTTATGACTAAAACCCCTTTCTCAACCTTTTTTCCTTCTTGTCCTTCCTCAACCTTCTTTGCTTTTTATCTTTCTCAACCTTCGTTTTCTTCATCTCACTTAGTGATCTTATCAAAATAAGATATTAGAGTGAGAGTCATATTAGAGGTGAAATTAAATGAGCAATTGAAAGAAAAAAAGTTACCTAAACAAATTCTCAAAAAAAGTTACCTAAACAAATTCTCATTTGAGATTGAAAATTTAGTGTTCTACTTAATTTTTTTATACATGAGCAAAACATTACCAATCTTGCTCTGATTCATAACAATACCCAACCCAAACAATGAAGGCTTTGCTTAGATCCGCTACTGACATCTCCACTCAATGTTGGATAGAGAGTCTCGAGGATCCAGATCTCAAATTTGGATTATTCAGGTCGGGTGGAACCAATGGGTCATTTCAATGGGTAGTTGTTGGAGTTAAGAGGTTTTGAAATCAATGGGTCATTTTCAATTTGCTTTTGATTCCGATACAAACTCTTTAATTTCATTTTTTGAATCTTATTTGCTTCATCTTGTCACCTATAAAGAGAGAACAATTTTGTTCGCTTCGTTTGCAAAATAGTTATTTATTTGGTTTAGATTTGAAGAATGAAAACAAAAAAGAATAAGAAAGATGTAATTCGATTGAGAAAGCACTCTATAATTCTAATTCTTATTTGTATCTATCTTGAATTCCTCCTGTTTCTAATTCTAATTCTTATTTGTATCTATCTTGAATTCCTCCTGTTTCTTTATGTATTTTCTTAATTTTTTTTGAACTAGTTCTCTGTATTTTCATTACCATATGATATTGTCAAAAGTTATAGCTAAACAAATTTTAGGACATTTTAATAGCTTCGTCCATAAAATTTCTTCTCAAAATTGTGGCTTTTTGTGTTCTTAAAGATTTTAAATTTTTTGGATTTATTTTTATACAGCTTTGTCTGTATTGTGTTTTTTTTTTTTCTTTTTTCTTAGATGAAATAAAGGGCATTTTTGACTTTTTAATACAAACTAACGGTAAATCTTGTTCAAATAGACGAAAGGACTAAAGTATTGGATGATAATAAAAGTTAAGGACATATAATCATTTATTTAAAGAAAAGCGAGGACCGAGTAGTATATTTGACCAAACTTGAGGGATGAAATAGTAATTCTCCTAAAAAATAACGAACTACATAAAAAATTCATATAACATGTCAGAAACTAATGTGTTAGCCAAATCACTTCTAATTTTGCATGCATATGGGACAGTGTAGGACAACTTCGATAGACGATCGACTTAACATAAATTATATATAAAAGCTTTTGAAACATACTTTTCTATCCTTAAAAAAACATATTTTCTGAATGACAAACTCTTTTTTTTTTTTTTTAATTTGTTGCCATATAATAGAGGTTTAAGGTATAAAAATAAAAGAATATATAATAAAAGAAAAAGGATGATGAAAGAAAACCAATGATAAAAATTGAAGTTAATAAAAATGCAAAGTTAAGTTTGGAAAGAGTAAAATAAAGTTGCGTTTAGTTTAGTTAATTCATGCAGTTGATAGTTATTTTGTATTCAATAGCTAAGTTGTAACTGTTTTGTAAGTTTTTTAATCAGCAGCTAATGGTTGATAGAAGTCTCAACCAGCTGTTATTTCAATAAACTACTTAACTACTTTTAGGAGCTTTTTCGTAACAACC